TGTAGGTGTGGAAGTGAGGTGAGTTGGTGTAAAATCTTAGGACATTATATACCGCCCCCTACCTATTTCTATAAAGGGGGCTGAGATGAAGTAGGTGGGTGTGCTGTTGTCATTATTGTCCTTTTACCGCCTTGTTTATATTGATCTCAGCCCTGCACTTGGAAACCGTAGGCCCGGCCCAGTTACTTCGTGTAGAGAGAAAAACAAAATGTACAACTTCACTTTTTGTTTATTATTGTTTCCGACGTCTTTTCCGTTTATTTTTGGCCTCTTTTCAAAATAGCTACGCGCGGGCCAGTGAACTTGAAAACCTGGTGATTATAATACCCTTTCTCAAAACCTCCAAAATACATGTGCACTCTGCTGTTTCGACAGCAGTTCTTTGAATTGCCAACCAAACTTTGCATGAAATACGAGTAACTGAATTTGAATGTTAATTTCTTCTCAATAATATGTATAGGTTATTGACCTTGATGTATTTTGCCTTTTAGATTCACGTTTGTACGGGGTGTCCATTGGGGGATCGGGTCTGGTCGGGGCTGTTTGATAGCCAGATTGAAGGTGTAAAGCGGCTCTCGCGGCACAAGCAGCTCCGATCGCGCCCGACTCACCAACTCAAAAACAAACGCGTTTGTAATTTTAGGCGAGGAGTAGGGCGATCGCCCCCTATTCGACCCAACCCGACCCCATTCGCAATGGGCAGCTATTAGATAATTATTTCAATTGTGTCGATTATGAGCAGACAAGAAAGCCTATATATCTAAAAGCCATGTTACCAAGTCTATTTTGTGTGCAAGTCTGATCACTGGACCCCCCCCCCCCCTCTATATGTTCACTACTTTTACACAGCTAATGTTTAAACTTTAATTTATTCATACATTCACATTGTTTCTGTTTCCTGTGCTTAGATCTACGGCTCCAATGTTTGCCTTCCTTCCCTGATGAATTGGTAGGCTGGACTATTAATTTAGTGTCTGCCAAGAGAACACTTAACATTAAATATTCAACAATGCTTTATTTGGTCGTTTTGCTAGGAGAACAATATTGGGGTATGGATTCAAGCCCCGCCTCCCCCCCTTTTTCTCAGATACCCCCCCC